TGCAAACCACTGTATGCAATTTATCATTTTCAACAGGATTTTTTCCAGATGACATGAAAATAGCAAAGGTAATTCCTATCTATGAGAATGGTGGAAAATATGTGTTTAACAATTACAGACAATATCCTTATTGCCACAGTTTTTAAAAATTTTAGGGAAATTATTTGTGATGAAATTGGACCAAATCATCAACAAACAAAATATTTTAAGTAGTAGTCAATACTAGCCTGGCCCTTGCCTTGCTACGCTGCTACGCTCAATTCTAGTTTCCCTTCACTGCTCCTTGTACGAAGCAAAGTGAAGGACAGGGTCTGCTTTAAACCAGGCTGTCAATACGGGTTCAGAGCAAATAATTCTACAGCAATGGCTCTCATGGAATTAACTGAGCAAATAACAAATACTGTTGACCAAAAGCAGTATTGTGCAAGCATTTTTGTTGATTTAAAAAAAGCGTTTGACACTATTCACCACAGTATTCTTCTCAAAAAGCTGAATCAATATGGTATTAGAGGACCGGCATTACAGTGGATATCTAGCTATTCAAAAAATAGGGAACAGTTTGTATAGATAAATGGAGTAAGATCTGAACTTTGTAACATAACGTGGAGTTCCTCAGGGTTCTGTACTTGGACAAAAGTTGTTCATACTATATGTGAATGATTTGGTAAATGTGTCAGAGTTTTTCAAATGTGTATTATTTGCAGATGATACTACATTTTTTTTGTTTAGGTAAGGATGGAGAATGGATGTTGGAGAGGATGCATGTGGAATTTGTTAAAATACAAACTTGGTTTAGACTTATTAAGTTGTCATTAAATTTAGAGAAAACTAATTATATGGTATTTAGAAATAGAAAGAAAACTATTGATGTTCCATTCAAAGTCGATGGGGTTGAGATTTGTAAAGTCAGTGAGGTGAAGTTTTTGGGCGCAGTGATAGATGAAGGGTTGACATGGAGACCTCACATAAATTATTTAAGAACAAAGACGGATAAATCTATTACTGTTCTGTATGACATAAGGGAGTTATTTAATGATAAAGCACTGTATATGTTGTATAATGTAATAAGTCCACACCCGGTTTATTGTATTGAAGTCTGGGGGGAAAGCGTTTAGGACAATTAAAAATCCTGTTTTTTATTACAGAAAAGAGCGTGACAGTTATTACTGGAAAACATTGTTGTCACCCATCAAATTCATTATTTTGTAAAATGAAAATATTGAAGTTCTTGATTTGGTTGATTATAAAATTCTACTGGTTAAGGCCCACAAAAACACATTATCTTTAAACATCCAAGTAAATTTTGTTAAGAGAAAGAGTTGTTATAACCTTAAAGGTAGAGATATTTGTAAAACCCAAATTCAGAACTAGTTTGAAGGAACGGTGTTCTTTAATTCAAGAAATAAATCTATGGAATAACTTTGGGACTGATGTAAAAATTGCAGGATCATTGTGTACAGTTAAGAAAATGATAAAAGGTGGATTGTTAAAGAAATATGAAACTGTAATGTGTAACGATACAGATTGTTGTTCTACAGGGATTAGTTGTTCTTGTCATTTGTTTTGTTAATAACAGATTTTTTTGTTATATGAACTTATTCTTGGGAAAAAAGAGGCATAGATTTTTTTCTTCTCTCTGCTGCCTTTCATATAATTTGTGATTTTGAAATATCTTTTTTTCTCTTCATTGTATATTGTATTTAAAGTTATTTGTTTTGTTTTAATGAAATGAATAAAGAATTGAAATTGAAAAAACAAAAGAAAGCAGTTTAGTGTTTCTGTGATCTGTTTAAACTCTAAATGTGTGCTGTGCAGTCTGATCCAGGCTTTTCATGGATTTCCATGATTTTATTTCGTGTCCACTGAAAACCAGTGACTCTTTGTTAAAATGTTGTTTCCAATCAAGCGTTAGGGTTGGGCATAATCGTATTGTGTGCAATTAATTGTCAGAAAAACATTAATCGATTACTTTTTGGCACTTGACGATTAATACGATTAATGCCACCAGGCAGAGTCCACTTGGTGCTCCTCTCTGCTTCAAATATGACGAACATTTAAACAAGTTCTGTAATTTATTTATCAACACAATTTAGAATTTGATGTATATCCTGAAGTCTGTAATTTTGACACAATTTGGAACAGATTTTTTCCGAAGAGCAAATCTTTCCCACTAAATTGGTCATGTGACTAGGACATGAGGGTGTCCAGGGGATTAATGATCATATTAATTGTTATCAGCTAAATACCACAATTAATCGTGATTAATTTTTTTGCCAATATTGCCCAACCCTATCAAACGTGTTTCATTTCTATTTTCAAACGACCTGTAAATATGGGCTCACATTAAACTTCCCAAACACTGTAGTACTGAACACAGACATGTTAGTTTTTATCAGGCATTTATTTCTGGTCAATTGAAAACCTAGACTAAAGAAATGAAGTCATAAGAGGATCAAACAGGCTCCATCTGAACAGTGTCTGGTCTCTCTGGTCTGAGCAGAAACAGGCCTCGGCCAAACTAAAGGCCACCTACTGTAGAAAAGAAGACGAACAAAGTAAGGCAACATAGAGCTAGCAAGATAGAAGCAGAGCGGACAATGTTACACAGTAACTATCCTAATTAATCACTTCCAAAGATTCAGTCAGGACCAGGGTCTGAGTGGGTGGAGCTGGACCTGGAGGTTTATCAGTTTATCAGTGTGCAACTGGCTGTCAGTTCAAACAAACTAATGTTTACAATCTATCAAACATGTCCTTCAGTTAAAACAATCTGGTGTGATGCACCACGCTGAACTTCATCTGGTCTGTGCAAGTCCAGTACTGCTCAGGACTCAGAGGACGTGGACTAAGACTGTCCTCTGGATCTACACAAATGCTTCCAGAACAAAGTGTTGGTCTTCACAGTATGTCTTCCAGTGTCCCCCCTGGACAGTGTCCTCAGACAGGCCCCCCACCTACAGAGCCTTGCGCTGGCGCTTCATGAAGGACAGGGAGTAGTCACCTGCAGCGGTGCTCTTCTGTCTCTTCATCTGGACCTGGGACTGGGCGGTGAGCTGCAGCTTGATGGCGCTGGAGTTCACCTTGGCTGCACACAGCAGCTCCTTCATGCCCTTCATCTTCTCACTCTGAAAGACCACCACGGGCCCGGCAGGGCAGGGGGACCCCTGCTGCTGGRAGGAGGGGGACGAGGCCGAGTCTGAGGCGGGGGACTTGGGTGTTCCTTCTGGATCGGCGGCCCGCGGGCCCTGAGAGGAGCGGCGCCGGGCGGCACCGTCTCCCAGCTTCTTGGGCTGGGCTGTGGGGGGATGGCTGGATGGGGAGGTGGGGGCGGCGGGTGAAGGAGAGCTCTGCTCCTCCAGCTTGGACTCCCTCCTCGGACCCCTCCTGCGACCCTCGCGGGGGTCCTCACTGGACTGGTCGTCGTCCTCCTGACACTCGGGCTCTTTGGTGATGATGGAGACTTTCTGACGCACCTGTGGAGGCAGAACAGGTGAGTGCTGAGCTGCAGCAGGCTGCAGGGTCACCTACAGGTGCTGTGAGGTCCACACCTGGGCATCGAAGCGGCTCAGGGACTGGACCAGGTAGGTGGCCCAGCCCACGTGGAGAACCGGAGTGGGGCTGCCCTCCTCCCACTTACAGATGCCATCATAAAAGCTGAGCAGGTGAGCAAAGCATTGTGGGTTGTGTAGCGCTGACACAGCTGCTGCCTGCTTGGTGTGCTCCTGGAATACAACAACACACAGTAAGACATGTACACAACAAAACACAACATAGTTAGACAAGTACACACATGAACAAAAATATAAAACACTTTGTGATTTTCATCTGTAACAACTGTTCAAACACACACATCATTCCTTCCAGCTCAGTGGGCCTCATGCAGAAACCGTTCATACGCACAGATTTGTTCTTAAGTTGTGCGTACGAGTGATTTAGGAGAATTTATCATTCACCAGTTTTCTCATATTCTAAGATTTTCTTCAGATATGAACAAAATTCACGAGTGGTCCAGACCTGTCGTATATTTTATGAGC